TATTGATGGTCTTAGAAAGGTACTGATGGAGGATTCTAAACCCCTGCTTATATCACCACTAATGATCAGTTTGGCTCATTGCTTCCTCCCAAACATGCACTTGTTTCTCCTTGTCTTCCGTAGGAAAGGTCCTCCATGACTAGAGGCCAAAGATCTCCCAAATTTTCAACTCCAGTGATGTCACACAAAATACCCCTTGCTGTAGCCCTACTAAGCCATTTATTGTCACTGGAGAACTTTTGCTATTTTCTTCATCTTCTTAATTCAGATGACCAGATTTACTTGCCCCTGCCTCATGCCTCAGTTTCCTCATCTGTTAAATAGGGGTAAAGTAATATGAAGTCAGTAAACCATGACGAAGAACATGTACTAGTATTAGTCACAGATTACCCACGTGCTTCTGGGCTAGGGAAAATGAGACCTCCTTTAAAAATTAATGCCAGGTACCGTTTCATAGCCCATGGTAATAGAATCCTTAAGCCATTCTAACTCTGTTCCACTGTGTGTTTTGCCTGTCTCCAATATTAAACTGTCAGCATTTTAAAGACAAGGATCTCTACCAGTCTATCTTACTTTAAATCCTTCAAGACCTTCCACAACCCCCTAAAAACTGGCAGGATCCCAGTAAATCTTTGCTAGCTGGAAATTTGATGTATTGTATTCATAAGCTGCTATGTTAAATTGAAACCACTTTGTGCAACTACTTAAAAACAATCATAAAAAAATCAACCGGTGCCAATGGATCATGCCTGTAATCCTAGCTGCTCAGAAGGCTGAGATTTGAGGATCAAATTCAAAGCCAGCCAAGGCAGGAAAATCCATGAGACTCTTATCTCTAGTTTACCACAAAAAGCTAGAAGTAGAGTTGTGGCTCAAGTGATAGAGTGCTATCCTTCAGCACAAAAGCCAGGGACAGTGCCCAGGCTCAGAGTTCAAGCCCCAGAGCTAGAAATAAGTAAATTTTTAAAATCATATCTATCTATCTATCTATATCTATATACATAGATAGATATGATTTAAAAAGAAAGAAAATTGAAACAGGCAGCTGAGATAGACAGCCTTTTAGGGTCCTAGGTGGGGGTACACAGTAAGTATTGTATGATCCCGACACTCTGGAGAAATATTCTCATCACCTAAAAGGCACCTGTGAATAAAACTGCTTGAAGGTGGACCTGGAATTCAGAAGTGGGGATTTCAAAAATCTAGGAATCTGCTATAACTGTACTCCAAATGGTTTTCAGGGTACTGGGGCTGTACTTGTACTGACAACTATCCCTCAGCTTTTTCTGCTCCAGGCTGGCTCTGTGCCACTTGAGACATACTTCTACTTCTGGCTTTTTGGTGGTCAACTGAAGATAAGAGTTTCACAAACTTTCTTGCCCTGGATGGCCTTAAACAGTGATCCTCAGATTTCAGCCTACCTGACTAGCTAAGATTACAGGCATGAGTTACCAATGCCTGGCTCAATGTATTTTCTTTTTGTCTTTCCTAGAGAGACTTTCTAGAGGGTACTCATAGAAAAGGATATACAAAGCACTAAATTAAGAGCACTTGCCATTGCTATTTAGAGAGAAAGTTATTTCCCTCCAGGGCTTTTTACAACTATGGGAAGGCTGTCTCTGGAGCTTGGTATAGGAGAAACTCCTTAAAGGATTCCAGATTATGTGATCACCAGAGAAGAGACCTACTAGATGTATGCATGGAGTCAGGGAGCTGGGACCTGCACAGCTCACTCCTGGGTGGGTGGGAGCCAGTGGTTATGATATGTGTTCTTGGTTTGGCACATAGACTCTCAGCATGTGGCTCTGCTTGGGAGAGTTGTTTTATTCTGTCGGGATGACTAAATAATACTACCTCTCCATTCAGACACACAAAGCAAGGCTGTTCACTTAATGACCATACAGAGAATTAAGTGACACTAAAACACCAAGCCAAGACTGGTACTGGAACAAAGGGGAGACAAGGACCCATTAGTGAAGGGTCCCCACAGCATTTTCTGCTGGCAGATGATTAGAAGGAACCTTCACAGTGAAGCCTGTTTTATTTGCAGAGGCCACAGTGGTAAATTAAAGCCCATCTTGGCCCATTCTGGGCTCTGGGGTTTCTCTTGGAGCTGTTCCTATCACTGTCCATAGGCCACTAAAACCTGCCCGCACTTGGGGTGATTGATTTCTGCTCAAACAGCGAGCTGCAAAGTCATGTCGGAAAACCCACCTCAAACAAGCCATTAGCTTCCTTTATGGATTTTTTAGCTCATAAGGAATAGGGCCTTGGAGGCCTCCTAACTTTTGAAGAGTAGACAGGGGTGGGGATGGGGGCAAATGAGAAAGCCAGAAGAAGGTGCGTGTACCCCCTTCGCTGTGTTTTGCCAATCAACAAGAGGGATCTAACAAAAACAGTCTCCCCAGGCTCATGGCGGGTGTTGGATATTCAAAAGCACACCAAAAGACCCTCCAGATAGTTCCGTCATGTAGAAACTAGAAGGTACAGAATAGACAGGGCTCAGCTCAGCTCAGCAGATGGCCTATCCTTGCTCCTCTGACCTCAGTCGGAGGATGTGGCAGTACCTAGGAGCTACAAAGTCCAGGAATGGGGGAGTGTCTAACACTTCCTGACTTGTCAGGCATGGCCCAATCCAACTGAGCCTCAATGGAGAGCATTGTGGGCAGGTGGTGTGAAACATCCCAGCGAATGTCACTGCGGTGGCAGCAGCATCCCACAGGCACCAATATTAGAAGCCCCGAGTTCTGTAGCTTGGCAGGTTTTAGCTCACACCTGACCCCCGTTTAGCAATTCTGATGTACGACGAAGCAGACAGCTCTGGCCTGGGATGACTGCCTCCCTCAGCCCCTCTCCGGCAGGCAATGAAAGCAAGATCCACTTTGAAAATTCTCCCCCATCATGCAAACTGACATAGGCATGCTTTTCAAAAACCCACAGCCAATCTGTTGATCATTACTTATTTACAAAGGCCTTCGGGCAGAAAGTCCTGTAAAAACCATACTTGATACGGTATACACTAGCTTTTTCTGCTTGTGGATAAAAAAAAAAGTCCCCCCCCCCAAGGCTACCTCAAACCATCACTTTCTATTGCACATAAAATGGAGCGTGTAACACTAAAGTATTTAATATATATGGTATAATATATCTACAGGAAAGGCATTTGTGTAGAAGTATGTTACCCTGGATTTGGTAATTTGATGTTTTGCTGAAGGCTACGACTTAAAAAAGCCTCCACCTCATACAGGAGACCTGTCATCTTGGTACCCAAGAGCCAACAGAATAAAGAAGTACCCTTAAGCAGCAAAACTTTGACACAGCTTTGAAGCATATGAAAACAGTATAACTCCTTAGAATTATTATTGCTCAAGATCAAAGCAATGAGCCATACTTTACATAGCAAACAGGGACAGAGAATTGGGCTCCAAAGGGTTCAGATTTTCCAGGCTTCTCTTTATTTATTTATTTGCTCCTCTAAATTTAGGCAAAAGAAGTATAATGGGTGTTTCTCTCTCTCTCTGTGTGTCTCTCTGTCTGTCTCTGCCTGTCTCTGTCTCTGTCTCTCTCTTAAATGGAGAAAACTATTAGCATCAGATAAGTCGATTACTTAAAGGTGAGTAAATAGGAAGGCAATGCTAGGATGACAACCAGTGTCATAAAAAAAGAGCAGCTTGGCAGTTGGAGCATTTTATTCCCCCTCATAAACTGTAAACAAGCATGTAAATCAGCAGTGCCCCAGCATGGCTGAGCTGGGGGATGGAGCACTCTTCAGTGGAGATGGTTAATGGGAATGGATGGTCATAAAGGCAGAGGAGGTAGTGCTAGTGAAACTTCCATCAAGTAACCCAAGTGCACCACTACTGAAGAAGGACAGCTCTCGCCGATGTCCTGGGCAGGTAGACAGATGTGGAGGGCTAAGGAGATTAAAATGTGCCGAAGAAGAATGGAGAGCAACATGGCTGCATCTCAATAATCAGAGAAGGGAGAGGAACCAAAGGCAATGGAAAAAGGGGAAGTCCTGTTAAGGTGGCTGGTGTCCCTATGGCAGAAACCATTTAGGAGAAGCAGTGCAAATCTGAAATCACTTTTGGATCATGGAGGTATTAAGAGGGTTTGGATGTCAGGAGAACAAATTTATTGGGATTGGCAGATGAATGACAAAAAGGGAAGATGAGAGACAAATAGGTCAAGAATAGGAACTTGTAGAACTATGTGGAAAGTCACTTACTATTTCTATAGGGAGTGCTATATCTAGAGTTCTTTCATTTAGAAAGGAAGACAGAGAGAAGGAGAGAGAGAGGAGGAAGAACAAAGTAGGGAAGGAAGGAAGGAAGGAAGGAAGGAAGGAAGGAAAAGGAAAGAAGGAAGGAAGGAGCAAACATGCTGTATTTCATAATTAATATTGCTTTTAGGCTGAGCACAACTAGATTACTTTTGAACTTTGCGTTGGCAAGTCCACAGATTATTAGACTTTTTTTCTCAGTCAAAATCAATTAGCAGAAATTTGATTTCAATCGACAGGATAAAAGGAAGGTAATCTTCAGGTTCATTTTTGATTGTGATGATACATCTCACATATGGCCTTAAGTACTGAAAACAGTCCTCCGAGGGACTCCAGCAGAAAGAGACTTGCCGCAGGCAAACTAACCACAGAGTTGCTCTGATTGGTTCCCAGCGTCATTAGTGCCACTGCTGTTTAGAAACTACACACAGACAGGACATGGTGACAGCTAAGACTTTAAAGCCTATGTATTTTTCAAACAGCTTTTCAAACTGTTTTTCATGACAGAATTTTTTCAGCTCTATCATTAAGTGCTGACAAGCTGACAGAATAAATACTTAAGAAGCCATAGAACGATCTTGCTCCCCTCCCCCATGATCACTGGTGCAGTAGGAGAATCTGGGGCCTAGGCAAGCATTGGAGGGGGCCCGGCCAAAAGAGAAGAGGGAGGAGAGAGGGCCCACCACGTGTGTGTATGTGTGTGGGGAACCTTGCTTACCTCATCAGCTTCGGAGAAGAGTTGGGTGAGTTCCTCATGCCCCCGTTGCGTTGCTTTTTTTTTGGTGACAGGGTTGATGGCTGCTCGTCTTCAACTGGAAATATAGGTAGCTCATGAGATTAGGAACAGTTTGAGGGTAGACTGAAATACAGGCAAGATAGCATAGTCACACACTCAAGGCTCAGTCACTCAACTAGGAAATCAGGGCTGTCTTTTAAGACCCGGTGACAAAGACCAAATGCATTAGTGAAAAGAGGCTTGCTTGAGAAGGTTGAAGCAAAACACATCTTTACGCTCTAGCACTGGAGCATGCACTTGAAACAGACTAAAACAAGTTCATAAACGCCCTAAACTTAGAAAGAAAAAGACAGAAACAACAACGAAGAAAAAGAAACCGTTGATTTGTCCGCATACAAAAAATATACATGTGCGTGTGTGAAACAGTCGATGGTTATTCTTCAGAATTAACTCTGGTAACTTTGTTTTGCCGGGTTAATCAAAGGCATCTTCCCATAACCAACATCAGAGGTAAAATTGTGTTGGAAAGTGCCTACCGCTTCTCCGGAGGAACCACCTTACTAGGTTGCTAATCCCCGAACAGCACAGATAGAGCTTTGAAGGTAGGTGAAGGATTCTCGGCCTTAAGAACCAATGTTGCAGTCGGTCAGGACTTAGAACATCGGCACAAGTGGGCTCAAGAATCCTCAGCTCTCATCTTCTCAGCACCCAGGGAGGAGGCATGGAGGAGGACTGTGCTCAGACAGGAGCGCTGGCCACCACAGGAGAGCACTGGGATCAGGGTGTACTTGCCACTGAATGGAATTTCTAATGAAGCAATGGCAGGCAGGGATGAAGGGCCAGCAGAGGAGATTGGAAACCAAAGCTGTTTTCTAAATACCTCCACCACACAGACTGCTAAGCAATGTGAAGCTTCACTCACAACACAGCACACTACTGCTTTGCCCCAAGACACCTACTAACAAGCTTTGTAGCTGTATACGCTGGCACCATGCTTCATTTTAAGAGCGCTGCTTGGTAATTAGCAAGATGCACAACCCCCACCCGCACCCCCACCCCACAACCTGTCACCCAAGGGCCTCAGCTGCAAAATCTAGTCCTGTTCTTCCCGGCCCCCACCATCCAGGCTAATGCTGTAATGTCAAGAAGGAAAAAGCAGATCCTTCCATTCTTAGGGTAGGTCGACTGCCACACAGACTAGGAGGAGACACCCCTGTAACTCAGAATGTACGGAGGTCACCTTTAATCTAAGAAGAGAAATATTAGCAGTATAGCAAAAGCAGCATCAGAAGAAGCTTGAGATATACATATTAATAGCACAGGAGTCTTTAGATAACAGGAGAAAAGAACCATCCCCGCTACTTAGTATTACCCAAAATGGCCCGTCCCACAGCATGCATTATACGTTACTTCCTTGAAAACCTTAAATAAATTTAGTAGGTTATGATCCATGGTTCTGAAGGGATCCTAAGACTCCAAACTGGTTTCAGAGGAGAGCGCGTTTTACACACCCTGAATCTACTGTCAAACTGGGATTGCCTCATGCTAGCTGGCACAGGAAAAGGAAACAAGAGTTGAGGCGTGAAGTAAGATGGATAGCAGGAGAGCTAAAGGTAAGAAAGCTTCTGCCAAGGCCCACAGCTCTTCCCTTCACCACCTGCTCCCCCCACCACTGCCCGGCCCGGAGGGGGCTCAGGCTGTGACCAGATCAGTCACGGAGGGCTCCAGGCAGGGACTGGGTGGCTGTGAAGATATCACATCTTATCAGAAATGAGTAACCACAGCAAATCACACGGAGACTAAACAGCACTTAAAAGATTAAAGGAAATAAATACAAGCCACATAAATGGTATTGAAAAAAAAATCACTTAGAGGTGATATGCATCTCTCAGCAAGCAAACAGGCACTCTGAGCTTGACCTAAATTCATCTTCCTTTCACAAGATAGGGGTCTGGGTGTCCAAGACAATAATAGGATAGGAGTGGGAGTGTGTGTGTGTGTGTGTGTGTGTGTGTGAGAGAGAGAGAGAGAGAGAGACAGAGAGACAGGAGAGAGAGAAAGAAGATGGAGAGAAAAGAGAAAGGACGAGAAAAGAGAGGGGAAATAGATGGGAGGAAAGAAAGGAGGGGCAAAGAAAATTGTACACAGTGTAGTCTTATACTTTCTCTTCCTAACAAGATCACCATTTTATAAAGGCTACATGCTAGAAGACACATGTGTGTGTGTCTATGTGTGTGTGTTTGTGTGTGTGTTTGTGCGCACGCATGAGTAGGTCGAGTGGGAATGCAAGTTCTGTTCTTCTCCTTCACACCAGGCTTCTCAAGGTTACCGTGCAACAGACTCGTAGATCTCTTCAATGTGACTCGATGTCACGGGGGTGGTGTCTGGCAGTGCGGTTAGTCTGCATTAGTGAAGACCCACGCCGAAGGCACCTTCCCCGGCATTCCCGTTGGGATCCTTTTGCTTAACTTCTGCTTCCCCATTGTACTGCACTGCTGGGAGATGGTTGTCTTTGGTTGAGTGCCCGTTATCCTTGCACCCTGTCACTGGCTGTTTGCTGGCACGGAGCTTCAGATGGGAGAGCTGGCAAGTGAATACATGTCAGCCCGCTCCAGACAGACGCTTCATGTTGATAGGAAACGTATGCCTCCTTCAGTGCAAGGAAACCATGTATTTTCATTGCAACTCACAGAGATCATTCATCATAATCATACTGTATTTAAACTGGGGTTTGTTCTCATCCATGAAACCATGTTCAAAGCATTCCTCTTGCACTTAGGGCCTGGAATTCTGCTCCCTGAAGAGACAGGAGCACTGCGAATGTTTTGTGATACAGGCCATGACATATGGCTTCCATCTCCCAAGAGAAGCAAGGGACAACTTCTTTGTCATAAGTAGGACATAAAGCATATCTAATTATTCTCCTTTATGTGGATTCTTATCCACCGGTGCACATTTAGAGAAAGCACATTTGAAGAAAAACTTTCAGTTCGGCTATAAAATATAATTTTCATTTCATGGCTTCTGTAACTCCATGAGAGGAATGACAAAGTGGAATTAAAAGGGGAGACTTCCATTTAACTCACGTTCATGAAAGACAGATGTGTGGAAGTAATGGGTTCTACCTCATGACAACGCACATTTACAAGCTCATATTTAACCTAGTCGGGTAAGTGTGATACACCTCTCTCTTTTCTCTCTAACATTTCCACTTGTTCCTGTGATGGGGAAATCACAGGAAGATAGGAGCCTTCAAAGAAACTTGACTTACCAGCTCTTCTAAAACACAAACAAGTTCAGGAATCTAACACAGCATTTTAATGGGAGCTGAACTCTATCCAGCCTCCAAGTAACTCATAAAATTCAAGGGCTTGTTTTTTTGTACATCCCTAAGTATAACACTTAATGTTCTCGTAACTTCCCCCACGCTCCCTTGTCTAATAGGCACTGAATCTAACAGTTTTACAGTTGGTGAAGACTCAGGCGCTAGAAAAATGTCAGGCAAGTCTAATGAGGCTTCGGATCCCCTGGTTTGCAAGAGAGTTTAATTTAAAGTTACAATGATGTTTTAACATGTTTGCTTAGACTTGACTAAAGAGGATTCATTATTTCAATGACATAACCTCCAGACAATGTTCTGGGAATTGATTTAAGATGGGGTGGTAATTCCAACAGCCTTAATGCGGAGCTGAACATCTGTAACAACATTTCATTTGACTTTTCATCAGAATTCCTTTTGCAAGCAAGAGCAAAGGCAGCGTCTTCCAGAAACACTGGCCAGAGATTCTGGCCTTACTTCAAAATGATCATGTATTTTACTAGATTATTATTATTTTTTAAAGAAAAGCTCTTCCTTTTTCTGCCTTGCCAAGTTACAAACATCTTGTCAGGGCTCACCCATGCCTCTTTTTATAGACTTTGAAATGACAGGGGACAAGGACTGTTGCTTTTCGCTTTCCCAATGTGTGCCTCGGATGGAAATCTCAGCTCTCCCCTGGAGTACATCCCCCCTTTCCTGTCCCCTCCACTTTCCCCCCCACCCGAGATTAATAGCAATAAAGTCCTTTGAGACTTCAAGGTGAGTTTGTTGGCTGGAGTAAAAAAAAAAAAAGTTCAAAGCAAATAAACTCACAAAAGTAATAAAAGGCAAACAAGCCATTAACATGAGTCAACCAGCTATCTCCATTACGTTATTAATCACTACATCTGGAGAAACTCACATCTGTACACACTTAGCAGATCATTAGTAATGTCATATTCACACTGGAACTGCTCAGAGTTAAGACTCATGCAAAGTGGTTTGAACACAAAGGCATCTAGCTAACAGGGCTTCTGATTACTGTTGTGGAGCACACTGAAGGTTGGAGAATTCAGGCATTTTTGTGGTTATTTATTGGTTTTTTTTTTTAGTGCTGTTGTTTGGGGTTTGTTTTTTCTTCAGTTTGGTCTTTTGCTGCCCAACAAACTAAACACATGCTGAAATCTATGGTAGTAGAGCTCTCTTGCCCCGCTGCACTTAGCCATGTTAAGGCGAAACACTGAGAGCCATAGGGCAATTATTGTTAAAGTATTGGGAAGGGTCTCCCAGCCACTTCTTCACCTGGCTCGGTCACAAGCCGAGAAATGGGAGCTGCATTCTTGGACTCAAATGGGTCTTTGTGATAACGTGAAATAGCTTCAGCCTTGACTGCCAAACAATGAGAAAAGAAAATGGAAATTAATCCTTAGTGAAATTCTCATTACAAAACCAAAACAAAACAAAAACCTCCCAGACCAATTTTAACATCAAATCGAATCATAGCTTTGGATGAAAAATGGAAGTCTCTCCCTCAAAGCTGAATTGCAGGGTTTTTGTTTTGATTTTCCTTTCTCTTTTACCCCGATGACTTCCTGGAACAATTTTTGCTACACCATTGTCTTTGATGTCAGGAGGGAGGATACCTGTGAAAATTCAGAAGGCAATCTCCTCTCTGCCATAATTCCTCCCAAAATATACAGAGTACCTCTCCTCTCTGACAACATACAGAAAACTTAGTTTAGCAGTAGGACCAGACCTATTATCTCCTGAAAACTACA